AAATTGTTACCTAAATTTGCATCTTTCAATGGTATGTCTCTTTTTGCAACAATAATGACAAGATAGGTTTTTATGAGAGATGTCATTGCTAATAAAATTCTTATACATATATTTGTGCTTCTTTTTAGAATGGTTCAAAGGCTTTTCAATCTTAGAAGAATCAATAGCAAACACCATCTTAGGTTGCAAGAAATTATCTAATTTGACTTGAAGAGATTTAAATTCCTCTTGTCTATTATAACAATGTTCACAACCAAACTTAGGAGTTTTAATATACTCACTCTTGTAACTTTGAATATCTATCATAGATTGCTTAATAGCTTCGAAATTTCTTTCGGATTCCAACATTTTAGCTTCTAAATTTAAAATCACTTTTTCATGTGAAGCTAACTTACTAAAAGCTCTTAAGGTTTCTCTATGAAGATCTTTAAAGGCCCTTTATAATTCTAAATATGATGAATTATTTATATACTCAAGCTTAGAGAGACTTACATTTTTCTTCTTCTTCCCTTTTTCCATAAGACAAACTCGAGCCAATTCGACACTTGAAGTTGTTCTTTCATCACTAGATGGCTCACTTTCACTTTCCCAAGTGACATACACTCTCCTAGTCTTGATAGAAGTCTTGTGATGACTCTTTTCTTTATCTTTCTTTCTCAAAGGACATTTCAGTCTGTAGTGACCTACTTCACCATAATGATAGCACGATCTTCTAATCTTTCTCTTCCTTCTTTCATCATCCTTTGAGGAGCTTGTAAACCTTCTAAACTTGGCTATGTTCTTGTCAGAATTTTTAACATCATTCTTCCTTATATACCTTTGGTATCTATTTAAGAACAACCCCATATCCTCCACATACAAGCTCTTGTCATTGTCACTTTCACTATCACCATGCTCACAATGTGAAGGCCTTAAGCTATAAGTCTTCAGAGCTATGAACTTCTTGCCTTCCTCTCTGTCTTTCCCTTTCTCATTCTTCATTCTCTTTTCACATTCTTTTTCGTATTTTGCTAAGCAAGTGAACTCTTTCTCATGCGCTTCCAACTTACGAAACAAATTCGTAAGATCAAGCGACTTAAAATCATTTTCCTCCTTGATGGTGGTGACCCCAGGTTGTCATTCCCTACTTAAACACCTCACAACTTTGTTAGTAGCAAGTTCATTGGAAACAGGATTACCTAGCGCATTTAATTGATTTATGAGGTGAGTGAACCGTTTTCGCATATCCGCAATGGTTTCACCATGCTTAATACGGAACAACTCAAAATCTTGATTTAATATGTTGATACTAGCTTGTTTGACATCATTAGTTCCCTCATGGCCAATCTCTAATGCGTCCTACATAGCTTTGGTGGTCTCACAATGAGAAACACAATAAAATTCATCAACACCCAAAGCGGGTGTGAGGGTGTTTTTTGCTTCCCAATCATGTGACCATAATTTCCAATCATTAGCATCTCATTGTGCTTCTAGTTTAGGTAATGTAACACTCTCCGCATTGGTCATGGTTATTTTATTAGGACCATTTTGGATAACATCCTAAATACCTTCGTCAACGGAGTTGACGTGAATACGTATAAGATCTTTCCAATAGCCATAATTTTTGCCAGTGAAAATTGATGCTCTATTGTACACTCCCTTAGATTCGATAGCCATTCTTCTAAAGAGTAAATCTCGAGCACGAAATTAACTGGAGCTCTTGATACCACTTGTTAGACGATAGGCTTCGACCTAGAGGGGTGGGTGAATAAATCACAAATTTAAAACAAAAAATTCTTGGCAAAAATTTGTTTTCAAAAAGTATGACACAACAGGAACAACCCGAATCAAATAGTCTAACCGAACCTAAAAAGCTCGGATATGCGTAATGAAAACCGATGGAATGATAATGAACACAAATTATTCAATCAACAATTAATTCATAGATCAATCAAATGCAACACTATTCGTAATGGTTATTTCTAATAAACACAAAGCGATAAAAATACTTAAATACAATTTATCGAACACCTTGTGTGTGATTGATCACGTTTAAAAATTCAATTAATTTTGTTGATGTAAAAAGCCCATCACAATCAAAGTGGTTGTGATTATATCAACAACGACAATTTAAAAGATAATTGAAAACAATTGCCAATCGAATTAGTTGAAATAACAAAAATCTATAATTTGCAAGAACAACAATTAAAGAAAAGTAAAGCGATAAAGAGACACAAAGATTTGTTTAGGAAGTTCCTAATCGGCCTCACTATGGGCACGTCTATCCTCAATCCAAAATTGAATTGAGATACTTGCAATTAACCTTATCTTTACAAAAATATTTATTCAAGAGGTGAAGAATTCTAACCCCACAAATCCTATTGTTTGTTGTTGATTCAAACACCTCCAAACCCTTGATCAAAACTTGATCAAGTCACCAACAATGCGGCTACAATCCTCTGATTATCCCGAGCACACACTTGTTGAACCCAAGATTCCCGAACACGATTCACCATCTCGCGCTACTCTCTTGCAAGGAAACCACCTTGTCTCAAGGCCTTCACTCGGTTGAATCCGTGTTGATGTGATCTTGTCCAAAACCTTCAAATCACACCGATCTTGAAGGAAAATCCCACCTTGGTTTTCTTATTTGAAACATACAAAGATCCCAACCCAATATTCTCGGTTACACCAAACCTAATTGGACGTTATCAACCTTAATCTAGATGGACACCCAATCGAAAAATTATTATGTAGTTCAATTGTGCGTATGAATAGAAGAGAGGTTAAAGATGACAGAAATGCTTCGTAATCTGGTTTCGTATAGGAAATTCACTAGTACCTTGATAGGTAAAGGTGCATGTATGAGTATATATAGGTATGTGTTGAAAAATGAACAAAATGAATGCAATAAGTTTGGAGAAAGAAAGAAAATTTTAAGTTGGGGAATCGTATAGGTTGGCCTGTCAAAGTAATAGGTCGGTCTGTCAATGCAATCAGGTCGTTCTATCAAGGTCTCAGGTCGGCCTATGTGAGACGACCTATGGACAGAAACTACAACTTCAATACTGCTTCATGGGAGCTGACCTGAAATGTTATAGGTCGGCCTATACTGGACCTGAGAGTCGTATAAGTCGGTCTGTTCGTGCATGTGTCGGTCTGAAAAGGTTTTACCACCCAAAAACAAAATTTTCAATGCAGATTTGATGCAAACTTCTTTTTCAACTTACTTAAATGATTCCTAACACTAAGATGCACACCTAAAGTGAGATGATATCGTCTAATATAAATAACGTTACACTATCCTAATTTTAATATCACTCAAAATACAAAAACACTCACAAAAATTGCTTATTAAAAAACTGGAGGTAGTACATATACTACAACATCATCCTTTAAGTGTACAAATATGAAATATCATAATGTGAACAAAATACATATAAATCCATAAACATTTTTAAAGTGTCATAATTTGGTGTTTTTAAAATAAAAAAAAATCCACCCTAAACCGGTAAAATTGAGTCCAAAAACAATTGTTGACACATGACAACGAAAGCTGAATCTTTCATAATTAAAGAATTAGAAAGAAAAAGAAATTAAAAAATAAAATATAAAAAATTAACTCTTAACCATGTAATTGGCCTGAGTTCATAAAATAGACTCATTTGATTATTAGAGTTTGTTAGAAGAATTATCTCTAAAAAATTATTACAAAATAACTAACATAATAAAGCAGTTTAAAAAATATAGCTAAAAAGAAAATAAACTATGTGGTTATATTGTATTGGCCCCGCAAACTATTGGAATGAATGTCTAGCATTTCAAATTTGTAACAACTTCAACAATGCCAAATATTCATATAATATATGCTACCACTAAAATACATAGTTAAAAGTATTTTAAATCACTTAAATTATTAAACAAAAAATAAAAATTTAATTAAATAAATTAATTGAATTCAGAATGTTATATTATCTCTTAGATATGTTTTGTAAGTACATACAAAATTAAGATAAAAAGTAGGGGTTTAATGTTGAATCTTGATACAAACATATTCTAACGGGCAAATCGTCCGTCTTTGCACCCTTGTCCACACCCTAGTTGATGTTCCTTTATACATATTTCAGATAACTCGAATATATGTAATCCCTAAACCCTTTCTTTTCAAAGACTTACCACAAAATCTCTTTAGACACTCTATCACACGCTTTCTCTAAGTCATTAAAAATTAACTGCAAGTTTTGTTGGTCCATCCGATATTACTCTATCACAATCACAATAGATAGATCATTTTCATAGTCGACTTTCCAAACGCAAAACAAAATTGATTCTAAGTGACTTTTGTCTCTTTTCTTAATCTTTATTCAATCATTCTTTTTCATAAACTCATGGTATGACTCATAAATTTAAACCCCTTATAATTTGCACAATTTTATATATCACTTTGTTTCTATAGATTAGAAATAGAATGCTTCTTCTCAATTCATTTAAAATTCGCTTTGATCTCATAATTTCATTAAAGAGTTTGATAAGCCACTCAATATCTTTATCTTTAAAAGTTATACATATTTTTAATAGATATATTGTCTGACCCAGCTTAGTATTACTCATCATTTTTAACATTTTCTTCATCTGTAATATCATATCATTTATTAAATTGATAAAAAATTAGAATTGCAAAAAAAGAAAATAAATGATATATAAGTAGAGGAAGTCTGCTGTGCCTTTTTTTTTCTTCTTCTTTTCCTTTTCATTTATATGATATTGGAGTACATATTTAGTATTTTAACTTTAACATTGTACATATTTTTATATTCAAAAGATAGTGATTATTTAAGTACTTAACATAAATGAGTATAAACAAAAATAACTTATGAGTCCAAAAGGGTCATTCCCCAAGCTCCAATCCCAACCTTATCTTCAGGACACTTCCAAATTCCTCCCACCCTTTGGCTGTTAAAGCAAACAAGTTAACAATTAGACAAATCACAAGAGCTACTACCACATACACAATATACAATATGCATCCTACTCCAGCTACACTTCCCAATGGTTTGGCCAGATGGACAATGATGCCATGGCCTAGGCTTCCCATACCATTTCCAATTGACAACATTCAAACTCACAATGTAAGTTTGTGTTGTGACATTAAAGAACTAGATTTGAGCAACCAAAGAGGTCAAAGCCTTTTGTGTGGAGCAAGAAGGCAAGTTAGATACCAAGACGAAGATGAAGATAGAGATGATGATGAGTATGGATACAATGAAGAAATTTCAAAGTTGGAATTCTACAGTCAATCAGCAAGAGGAGAAGCACTTATTGTTCATGCACTTGTGGACCAAAATGAAGTAGAGGTGCTTATCTTTAAGGTCAGTTTGTCATATATATGCCAATAATTAATTTTAAGAGTTTTGCTCTACAATAATAACCAATAAAACAAACTAATTACTTAAAAATATTTTAGCCCCCCCAAAATGAACCTACATGTAATAAGGCAAAAAGCACATTAATTTGTTCTGAGTTTTTGGATTTGTTTCAGGGGTTTTCTTCATCCTTAAGCTATAGTACTTCCCCTGACCCAACAAGAAGCATTCTTCCAGCCAGAGCAGTGATAAAGTCTATAGATAGAATCAAAGGGCCTTTTGACCCTGCCAATATAGAGTATCTGCAGAAGGATGTACCATGGGAAGAATTCAAGACAAATCTTTCTAATTAAAGATCATATTTAGCTTCTTAAATTTTTTTAATAATTTCTTTTTCTATTTGATTTATTTTGTATACATTGTCCAATACTTTGTCAAAACAAATTTGTTTTCTTACTTATAGCATTATTTTCTCTAACTTAACATTACAAGTTTCTTTTTTTACCTATAGAAAATAATAAAATAATCTTAAAGTTTTATTTTTCAATTCAATATAAAAAACAATAGACAAACAATAAACCTATGAAAAGTCTTGCTTACGCGGTTGATGGACAAAAAAGAACTCAAAATTTGTTGCAACTTATTATTTCCAAGCCACTGAATCAATGTCATCCCTAGCTTGCTTGTACAATTCAAGCCTTTTAGCTAATTGTGTTCTCTTTTCCATAAGTGCAGGATCTTCATCCAACATGGCCCCAAGTTGCTCCTTCTGCATACACCATACATTTTGTTTTAGCCTTAACACCAAGGTGGTTAAAAAGAAATTTCTTATTGAAAATTGTTTGCATGAGTCTCATAAGGGCAAAGCGTAAAAGCAAATAATAAAGATAGACTCAAACCTCTTTTCTTCCAACTTGAACATAAAAGCGGTTAAGCAATGATCTCTTTGCTTCTCTAACTTGACAATAAACCACAGCCTTTGGTATAGAATTTTTAAGTGTGTCACATATCATGTTGATATAGGCATTAACATTTGATCCTGAAATAAGAATCATAAAATGTCTAACAATCAAGAATGAATTTATAAAATTTTAAAAAAGAAAATCACAGAATTTCAAATTATAGTTAAAATCCAAAACAAGTAAGAATGTCACAGCCAACAAGTAGGAACATCATGACATGAACCGCGTTTGTAGATTGAAGATTTAAACCATTTCAATCAATCATGCAGCAGCATTTAAATTCAAAACCAACTTTAGATGACACTCAAAATAAATGAATTATCAGAGAACATTATGTGTTGATCATGTGGTGAGCAGGGATTATTACTTACCAATTTTCCTGAGGTGATTATCCGAGTAATTGTCCAGATTAGGATTAGGATTATTAGGGGTATTTCGACCTGGGTTTGTTTCTGATTCAAGATTAATCTTCCGAAAAAATTCTACTGTTAGATAGCTAGACTCCATATCAACTAGCCGGGTCACTGTCTTCCTACTTTCTTCTCGGAATCTATCCAAAGAATCATTTGCAGCTGTGGCTATTTCATTTTTAAGTGTTGGAAACCTCTTTAATTCCTGCATGCCATGAAGTTAGAACAGTATATTATTTATTTTGCCTTCAAACTCCCTGATTCTGAGTGAATTAGGACTATGCAATGTTAAATTTCCTTACATAAGCCAAAGTTGATGGAGTTTTAATTAATAAGACAAAAGAGTAATCGTTTCAAAGTTATTCTTTCAGACTTCCTTGTGAAAATGTTAAACTCGGACGTGTGTTATTTGAAAATCAGGATTTTATCTGAAAGAGTTATATCAACTTGCTGAATTAATTGGTCTTAAATATACGAAGAGAAAGACTAAATAATTTTGAAATATAGTTATGGTGTAATATGATTGATGATTGACTTGATACAAAAGACTATACACACTAGCTCATATTCAAGATAATGTCAAGATATTGCAACTTTTTATTTTATTTTTATAGTTTAGCATAACTTAAAGCATTGCTAACCTCAGTTGCTGCAATTGCCTTCCGTACAAGTTCTTTTAAAACAAGGTGGACCTGAAAGCAGATAACAATAAACAATTTTTAAGTGGAACAAACATGGACAGAAGAAACTGAAGAGGGAGGCAATATTTTCAGAAAAGAACAGCATGTAGTTAAAGAAACATAGAAGAGGAAAACCATCTTTGGACTAACTTGTTTTTGTAATTCGAATACAAAAGGGAAAAAATAGATAGTCACAGTTCTCGCTATGAAAGCTTTGGCCTCAAAATAGATGCACATTGCCAACCACACATCCATAATAAACTAGTTTTGATCAGGGAATAAAAGCATTAGAATTTCTTCCGTAGAACAGATGTTTAAACAAAACAAAGTCAAGAGGATTACAGCATCCACAGAGGCATCAGCTGGGCCTTTGAAGTATCCTAAACATCCTTCAATAAGTCTTCTGTACCCTTGTTCTGGAGCAATCAGATGGGGCTGATAACCATCGGCTTCTGTAACAACTCGTTGTACATTTTTTAGGGAAAGATGACGATCAAAGGGGAGCTTTTTCAAAGCAGCCGGTAATTGGTTGTCAAAAACCCCATAAATTTTGTCACCGCCTGGACGTCTGAAACATAGCAGTTAGTTACTCGATCAAATGTAATAGCTTCCCATAAGAATAACAGTGAGAAATATTAGTCGCATAAAATTATTTCATGATAAAATGATAGTATACTGTAAAGGTGTGTATCTGTAAAGGCGCATCTGATTAAACTCAATTTTATTTTTCACATTCAACTACTCTGCTTCTGAAGTGAGTTAAAAGAACTTAGGCCTAAATATACCGTGGTCATTTTGTCCCTAGTGTTTCAAAAGAAAACTTTGGAAAAATCATGATAGAGATTTTCTATTTACACATTGTCATGCACTAAATCAACCCAAACGCTAAAGCTAATTGCTACTCGTTTTATATCTTGAACATGTCCCCACAAGCTAGACCCTTCGGGTTAAAGCATGGACAATGCAAAGATTCTAACGAGAATAGAAAATATACTTGAATAATTTTAGAATGAATGACTTGCAATACACAATGAGCCTGTACGAATATATACACAAATAGAATCTCCCAAAAGAGGAAAAATAAATAAAATAAACCATAGAACATGCCATCTACAATAACATCATGCTGACATTTACTGCCAAAACGCCACATATTAAGTTGTCATAATTTCAAAAGCCACAGTTGACAAATGATAAACAAATGGCTGAAGGTCAACACAAACACGAACCCAACTACAGAGTATTAAAAATCCTCTAAAACAAAAGACAACACAGGTAAACAATAAGTTAGAAGCAAACTATTAAGCTGATAATGCCCTCTAAAAATTATAAGAGGAACCCCCCAATTAGATTGAACTTTCAATTAGAGATAACTGTCTATGAAAGTGCTTTTGTTGACAAGTTATTGTCAATCAAGTAAGGGGTGTATTAAAAGTTTGCCTTCCCAGAGCATATTGAGTTCATTTATTCTATGGTTTTTTCTACTACCTTCATTTCTGCTTCTACAAGAGGATGTATCTTATTACTAGCATTTTGTATGATATATCAGCTTTCGGTAGATAAATGTCCTTTAATTAAAAAGAAAGCACTATTTGAGATGAAGAAAACAAAATAAGTTCATTAGCATTTATTTGATCAACACATTTAGAGTAACCACTAGTAGTTGATAAAAACTTCCACCTTTTCTACATTATCATAATTTTATGTTTCTGTAATCTTTCTAAGAGGGACTGTTACTAAGCCAAAGCTAATATTGTGTTTGATAAATGTTACTGGTTCTATCCAATTTCTATCAGTTACCAATCCATGGAGTGGTATCAGAAATCTTTGTCCAGACTAACTTATTTTTTCCTTTTCTCGAAAAATTGAATGCTACATTTCATTGTAAAATAATTCTAGCAAAAGAGGGAATAACTAGGACATTGCAAGCATAGACATTAAAAATGCATCCAATAGAAAAGAATTTAACAATGAGGACATAAATGCACACAAGAAAAGCAATGAACAAGCAGAATGTAAGAGTGAAATTCCAGTTGAAGACGCCATCAATGTATACGAACCAGATTACCCAGAAACATGAGTAACCATTGCTAAATATCATATTTTGTCACTCTATCATAAGGTTGTTGGCGATAAATAAAAGGAAGCCACATAAAATTAATCAACTACAATGTGTAGCTAATGCTTAAACTCAACATATGTACTTACCCTCCATCGATGTGTTCCTTAAATACTTTGTCGAATGCTCGACACATCTCTAAAATAGTGTATAGTTGGGCCTAAGAAAAAAAAGTGACACTACTTAAAATGAAGAAATCAACTAGTTTCAAATCTAAGAAGATTGAATTCAGAAATGGTCTAAGTTCTGACCCCTGAATCCACAGCTATAGGCCTGCCAATGCGGTCCAACTCTGCATTAAGCTCGTCAATGGTTTTATTTATTAAGGCAATGATACTAGGAATCCGCTGCCTAATGACAATCTCCAGATGCTGATGTCATAAACGCCAGTAAAAGAAAGGAATGAAAATGACTAGTCATTTGATGAATTACAGCCTAAAAGTCACCTAAAGAAAACAGTAGTATAACAAGAACAATAATAAAAATAATGTGAAAACTTTTGATGAAATGAGAATACCTCAGATAGAAGTTTGGCAAGGTATTCTGCACCCATTTTGTGGGCCAAATGTCCATATTCAGGGCTCGTCTCAAAATATTCACGCTCCTTCTTGCGGGCAATAATCATGTCAACATTTTTATTAATATCCGCTTGTGAACGGTTAACAATTCCAACCCATGGATGCTGCAACCTGTAATGCCTTCCTTCGAGAACCTTTAAGATTCACATAATAACACTATTCAATTTGATGTAGAACATCAAAACAGTAGATAACCATGAAGTTTTTTGAGAAATTATACATCAACGGCATTAGTTCCTTTATCCATAAGATCAAGTTTTGTCACCACTCCAAATGTTCTTTCACCTGAAACAAGAATAAAAGAACTAATGTTTTCCAAAATGAATATTGGCTAAAACAGAAAGGCAAAGAGAGAGATTGATAAAAGGAAATAGTATCTAAACTTGAAATTCCTTCAAGAGTAAAATGACAGACCCGAAGGATCAACTTCTTTTGCTATTTTTATTGCGTCTGAAGTGGCAATATCTTGGTTTGCAGGAGAGATGGCCAATATAATGCAGTTGGGCTGCACAATCAGAAGACTCTATCAGATCAATTTTTGTTTTCAGTGGTAATCAGAAAATGTGACTGTTTTAATTTCCTTCTCTTTAAAAGGTTTATAAAGAAACTGTGAAAATAATGCAGGGATATTTGAAAACAAATAACACTTTTGTAATTATAAATGAACATAAGAGGTTGGTTACTTGAACATGATGTCTTCTCTAAGTTTCCGTTTATGATCACCGCTGTTGAAGTTTAATGACAAGTTACTTGAACACAGTGTCTTCTTTAAAGGGAGTTTATGCTATAAGAAATTAATTTTCCTTCTTTGAAAACTTCGGTTTAGTTAATGTCTTGTACCATGCTTGTTTACTACAATTCTTAAACATATCTACTTATTCTTACATCAAGACAGCAATTACCTTCTCAACATAGGATCGAACCATGTTTTCAATATCTTGAACAATAGTTTCTGATTGCCCCTCTGTGTAAGAAGCATAAATTCTGTTATTGAAGCATTATACCAACAACTTTTTTTCTCTTAAATTGTTAAGAAATGGTGAAGCATTACCTACTGCAACCTTTGTCAATCCAGGAAGATCTATGAGGGTTAAGTTTACAACTGCCGACAAAAACATGCAAATTCAAATTAAAATTCTACCAAATGAGGACTATTTATGAAGAAGAAATTATGTTGCATTTCTCAATTAGTAGGGTGTCTATTCGAAATAGAGTATTTTTAGATGATAAGAAACTAGCTCTCTGAGAAGACAATATCAAGATATTATAAGATATTTTTCTTATGTTTTTACAGCGGACTGGAGAAGTCCCCCAAAGGCTCCTATATAAGTTGACATTTACTCCAAGTGAAGGTACAGTTTCATTTACAACTGATACATCCATCTCACACAATTGATCAGCAAAGTCTCTGCAGGTGGCCACCACTAGGAACTCCCCTAACCGTGATCTGTCTCATCCGTCCATCTATTTGCATCTATCTTTACGAACATAAAACTAGATTGGTGAGCTTTACTCATCTTTGAAGTTATCCATGAGCAGTATGTATATTCGACATGTGCTTCTTTAGTTCTCCATAGACTAGCTTCTTACAAATTAAACTATAATGTTTATTAAGACAAACTGTTAAGAGAGAAATCCAACAGCTCTCTTTCAGCCTGGATCAACCAGCCAAAAATTCGTTATTCAGATACATGGCTTCCTCTACATTTAGAGAGTTATTTATAGAGAGGAAAAGTAATAGAATACTATCCAATTGGATGTTTCCTAATATAATCTAGCTGCAGGCTAACTTCCTAGTTGACACCTTATAGACCTGTTTTCTACTTCTTCATAAAGAAAATCTGCAGGGTTCTTAGCTCCTCTGGGTGACTCATCCTCAAGATTTAAGAGAAGATTATTTCAACTAATCCACACTAACTAGCCTTACTTTTAACATATTCTTCCATTGATTACTACTTTAAATTGTTCACCGAAAGAGTAAAATTGGTAGAGTAAACAGACAGTACAAAATTTTATAAAATATGAACAAAACTGTTTTCATCTATCATGTTATGAAGGGATATTGTAATCAAATACCATTTGGAGAATATATGCTGAGTTGAATTGGAATGTTAGAAATTTGCTTCGACTTCCCAGTTATACGATCTGTTTCGTCTGAAATTTCCTGCCTTACAGCAGCTGTATGGGACAAAAAAAGAAAATCAAAGTTCAGCATCTACTGTTAATATCTTTGTCATGAACAAACTACTCCAAAAAACATATTGAGTAAATAATTTTGTATTATATCGGTAATAAGCCCCCTCACATCAGTACTTTGAAATTGAAACATGAACAAAGCACAGACCTATCTTTTACTAAAACTCAACTTTTTATTAGAAGAACAGGGAAAGCAAAGACCAAACTCTACGTCACATGGTCAACTTGTTATCTGAATATACATTGATGGTTTACATATTATATACTTAACAATCTTTAATGTCAATATCATTTACAATTTCAATACATAAACTTCAAAAATACATAGTAAGTTTTTAAATTTAGTATGTTCTATACTCCACATATTCTTTTGTCGAAATATTTGAGTTTAAAAATGAAAGGGATATAAGATGTATGATTAAAGGTAGCTTTCTTTGGCTTAGTGGACAGAGTAGCGAGAATATCACAATTGTAGCTCGGAGGTTGTTTATAGCAAACATAAGAATGAAGGGTTTCATCTGTCTAGGAAACTCGGGTACGAAAACATTGCTTTGTAGGCTATAGCTTTTGCCAACTACTTATACTAAATCAGATATATTTCTGCATCGATATTAAGCAGCAAAACTTGCAGCACACGGTTTAATCGACCATCATCAATCAAAAGACCATAAAATAATAATGCCTTTGCTACCTGATGTCGTCAACTTATCATTACTGCACATGTATAAATCTTACTGAAATATTAAAAGAAATACTTCATTTACCGAAGTCAGTGAATCTCTTTCTAGGCGCATGAAGAAACTCGCCATAATCCTGTTGTCCATCATCTGTCTTGTGAAGTTGCAACACTAGCGGCCTTCGTGTGACAATACCTTGCAAGTAGTTAATAACAATAACACATCAATGATATGATATTCATCTTCAAATAGAAAGGAAAAACAGCATAACCACCGCGCGATAAACACATCCACTAAGAGTGTGTTTGGAAGAACTTATAGCTCCAATCCCATTCAATTTCATTACTCACACTTCATATAAAGTTTTGAAGGCTAATCTAGCAAACACCGTGGGATTAATGATTCAAAAATTAATCAGAAAATGCTAATCTAGCAAGCAACGGTTACATACCAGATCCACGAGGCAGAAAATCCCTTCCAACCACACTCTCTAACACCGACGATTTCCCTGAACTCTGGTTTTCGTTTTCCACATATACATACACATTACAAAAAATCAATCATACTCTAGATCAAGCAATCACGATATAATTATGAAAATGAAAAAAAAAAGTAAGTAATTGAAAAAAGTGAGACCTGTCCTCCAACAACGGCGACGGAGGGAAGAGCCTCCCAGAGTGACAAACCGCCACCGCCATGGTCACCTAATACAGTGCATGCACGTTGGATCTTGTTGATGAGACCGATCAAACTCGTCATAGTCGCCATTTTGGAATCAGATGAAGAAGAGTGAACAAATGTATGGTTTTTAGATCAAAAATCGCAGAGAATGGGAATGAAGAATGTGAATCCGAAGAGAAGAGATAACTGAAAAACGGTTTTTTGGCGGGGATTGAGGAATTAATGCTGAAATGGAATTTTAACTTTCACTTTCACATGTCTCTTTCTTTTTTTTTATACCATTTATTAGAGATGTATTTTTAGAGAATAATCAGTATTATTTACAATATTTGACATCTACATGTTATATTCGACTTTGTCGAATATATTTAATTTGTACTCAACTATTTCTGACTATGTTGTTTATATTTACTTCGATTAGGTCGAATACAACGTCAAATATAGATTTTCTTATTAAATAATGAATTACTAGCTTTTAACACACCTCTAATTCATATTTTCAAGACTTCTCATTCCAATGCTTCACTTTAACTCATCAAATTTGATTTTTTTCAGAGAGCTTTGTGAGTATATTAGTTAGTTGTCATTCTGACTTGCAATGCTCAAGCTCAAGATTTCTTTTATTTACTCGATCCATAAGAAAATTATACTTCCTATCTATGTGCTTACTTCTATCATAATACACATGATGATTTTTCAGGTCGATAGTTGAATTGTTATCTACAAACAACTTCATTTTCTTAGATTCCATGATCTTGAGCTCTTCGAGTAACATCTTTATCCATGCTGTTTGACATGCGGCATAAGATGCAACTACGTGCCCATCTTCACAAGAGGATAATGTCGCAGTGCTTTGCTTTCTTGAGCTCCAAGAGATTGGAGCACCTCCAATCATGAATATGTAGCATGCAATACTCTTCTTCTCGTCTTGATCTCCCCTGAAATCTGAATTAGTGTAGCCATGTATCTCTGCATTTGTGCTTGTATTCTTCTAAATTGACATTAACACACCATGGTCGATTGTTCCCTTTATGTATCTCAACACTCTCTTTACTACAGTGAGATGACATTTTTGTGGCTTCTACATAAATCTGCTCAACAACCCAACACTTTGACAAATGTCAGGTATGATATTGCATAAATACCTTAAGGATAAAAAGATTTCTTGTACAATGTTGAACTTGTAAACTCATCATTTGTATCCTTTCTCAATTTTGCTCCAGTCTCCAATGGTATGACAATTGCATTACAGTTGCTCATCTTGAATCTTTTCAAGATGTCTTGAGCATACTTCTTCTAATGCAAGAGTACTCCTTCATTTATTTCTTTAAACTCCATCCCTAAAAAATATGACAAGTTTCCAAGATTTTGTACATTTCAAGTTCCTGCATTAGTTTAGACTTGACTAACGTGATTTCTACCTCATCTGCACCTGTGATCAGCAAGTCATCCACATACAAGCATATAATGACTCAATTGAGCTTGTTTGTATTGTTGACATACACTTGATGGTCTGAGGCACAATTTGTGAAACCTGACTTGATCAGGAATCCATATATTCTCTTATTCTAAGCATTTGGAACCTACTTTAAGCTATATAGAGTCTTCCTCAATCTGTACACCTTCTGCTTCTGCACTTTGATTTCAAATCCTAGTGGTTGACTGACATATACCTCTTCTTTTAATGGTCCATTCAGAAATGCTGACTTTACATCTAATTGATGTATCTTACATCCTTTGTATGTTGCAGTCGACACAATAATTTTGATGATTTTCAGTCTTGCAACAAGTGCATAAACTTTGTCGAAGTCAATACCAGGTTTTTGTAGAAAGTCTCTTGCCATTATTCTTCTGTTATGTTTGGCAATTTCACCATATGTTCTTTGTTTCAACTCGTAGACTCACTTCACATAAATTGGATTCTCGATTGACTTTTCGACAAGCTGTCAGATTTTGTTCTTCTCGATCTCCTTAAGTTCTTATTGCATGGTTGCCAACCAATTTGAATTATCCAGGACTTGATCCAAATCAATTGGTTCTGATTCAACAATCATTATCACTTTTTCTATGAAGTCATCATCTGTATCGATTGTTTGATTTGAAAATCTCTCATATTCAACTAGTCTTGTCGACTAAGTTCTCGTTCTAACAAATCTTCTAACATTCTTCTCAAGTGTTTCTTCATTTTGAGTGGTTGTGACTTCATCGACGAAAGTTTACGTCGAAATCAAAAATGAAAAAAATGGAGTCTCGCAGCAAAGTGAAAAAAAATTGTCACATTATACACTTAATGAGATAATTTAATCTCAACCCTTAATTTTTTATCTAATGGCTAAAATCATATCCTCTCACTCTCAAATAAAAAAAAACTCAAAGATTGCGTGAGTTAAAAAGATAATTTTTTTAAAAAATTAAAAAAAAAATCAAAATGATGGGATTAATAGTGTATTTATTTTTTACAAGTATATTCATGTTCTTCCTTTTTTTTTTACATGCATAAGAAAAGTGTTTATTTTTAACAATAAATATACTTTATATTTATTAAATTGTAATGAATCTTTTATTTTCAATTTTTGTTATTCTATTTTTTTTTTTGATATTTCATCATTTTTATTTATTATAATAAAATGTGTGCTTTGATTTACTTTTATTTTTTCATCATATTTAATTTTTTATTTATTGATCATTATATTTATTCATGTATTTCCTTCTTTTATCTTATCGTCTACAAAACTACAAAACAATTATCTTTTTAAATATTTTTTTTCTTCTCAAATTCTTTTTTTTCTCTGTATTCTTTGAATCAAATTATTAAAATGTAAAGAAGGTATGGACTAAATTGTTTCAATTTATATTTTTCAGTAACTATAAGCTTCTTTTATATTTTATTACTTCTATGTAAATTTATCCAACTTTATGAGAAGTAAATTTATCCAACTTTATTTTTATTTTCATATTCCTAAACTATCTTTTATAGGCTGAATTATACGCAAATTAAATTATTTATGAGTTTATTTTTATAAATCAGATATTTTATACGTGCAACTGCAAAGACTATTAAGAAATTAGAATTGAATTAAATAATGAAAGAATTCTCATTAAGTGGATCAATAATAAATCAAATCTATAGAAGTCGTGTTACTTCCACTCTAAGCTATTGTGAGGATGTTGTACTCTATAGTTACTTTGAGTATCAATACATCATGCTCAATTTCCATTTGAATATCCATTCAGTTGGATTGTTGAATCTCTAGGAAACATTATGCCCCGACCTAGATAAATTTTGAGGTATCTGAGGACTCTGCAAGCTACATTAAAGCGAGTGGTGGCGGGAGAATATAGGAATTAACTTAATTATTGTGTTGTTCGCTGTGAAAATTGGTGAACAACCGCTGCTCTTCCAAATCGAAAAAGATTTTTTTACTCGCAGGATCGACCACACAAATCATAGGACATGTGCTAGTTGATCTTAAACAAAGTTTGAAAAAACAATGAACACTTCGGCAGAGTTCATGATAAATGTAACTTGTTTAAAAAATGTAAATGGAATTGAAAACATGAGATTAAAGTCGAAAGACTGGTAAAAATGTAGAAAGTAACTTGCACAAGGAAAAGATAAAATCTTAATGAAAAGACTTATTGAATTGCATTAAAATGTAAAAATGGTGTTGTTCAACGTACATTCTCACAAACTCATTTCTCTACATGCAGGTACTTTGAGTATATTGAGGAGTTTGTACACAATTAAACACACACACTAATCCTAACACTAAGAATTGATATTTATACTAATAAAAAATAACTGTCATCAACGACTTACGAACTAGATCGAGACAAGTGGCGTTCTGCATGTCTTCGAATCATGGAAGCACTCCACGTGTGTTCTTTGAGAAATGGATAAGAACAAAAATTCTCTCCTTTATTTGAATTCAAATCTTCCTGTCGAAATGCCTTCAGTAGCACCTCTGTTGAATCACATTTTCCAATTGTTAGGAAATATTTCTAAATCCATAAAATAATTCTTCCTTGCAAAGGGACGCCTTCGACTCACACTCCAAAAATGTAGTTCTGGTCAAAGTCATCTGATTTCTTCATAAACTCTATTACTTCCTTTTAATCTAATTCAGACGTCGAAATTTAGAGCCAATAAACTGCCCCCCAAGAATGTCATTTTTGACATCACTGAAGAAAAAGACATTTTTTTGATAATGTCATTCGACGTCTCGAACGACTCTTGCATGACTTTGATGTCTATCACTATTTCAGAAAACCCATGACGTCACGATCATCATAGCGATTTCTGAAATGTCTTATCAATGCACTCCAAAATCTCTAGCCATCATCACACTTTCTAGACTCTAGGAGATCATGGGGCTAGGCATTAACTGCCAACATTCCATTAAACAATCCTGGTGGAAGACGTGTCCCACTAACCATCTACTCTTTTAATGCTGATTTGAAGTCCCTTAAACTTCCACAAGCTTATAAATAGCTCCATACTTATCCATTTTCACTTTTTACACTTCTCAAAAACTCTCAAACATTTTCTTCTCTCTTCACCTTTCAAATCTTCAAAGAAAATACCCAGATTTCTTCAACCTTCAACAATGGATTCTTCAACCACCAACATCAAAGACTCCAAAAAAGGCCAAAAATCCAAAGTCCTAAAGAAGATCTCTCAGTCTCCTCCCTTTGACACACTTTCAGGTCCAAAGATGGTGGAGAACCAACATTTCATTCCTGAGCCGCTTGAAGAAGAAAAGAGAAAAATCTACGAATCTCAGGTACTTGTTCATGTTATTGTTTCTGGTAAACGACATGCATTATGCAGTCATTTATCTGCTTTAGCTTTGATCATAGCAAATCTAAGGACTTTTTTCATTCTTATCACAAATCCAAACCCATAGGACAAGCCAATAAATCTAGGGTTGAAAAATCCTCTTCTGATGTAGTAGCGTTGAATAACATAGACTTAAGGTATATGAATAACAACTTTAGAGTCTTTCGAGCGACCCCATCCTTTAAGGAATATGATGACTATATGAGTTGGTTAGCAAAGGTAGAAAAAGTTAAGTCCCAAACCTGGA